GTCAACACATATGGACCCTAAATATAGTCTATATTAAGAACGAGAAAAGTCTTAACATATATATCCTTTTTTGTAAACATATGTGTGAGGGTGATGACGTCAGAGCATCGTCCTATGTGCCAGGGCTTAGCCCCGGACAGCCCCAGCCCAATTTAACCCCTGGTATTTGTGAGGGAGCTCCTATATGGCATTACCCCGCTGAAGCTCACCAAAGTTTAATATATTTCATAGTTCAAAGTTTTGTCAATTGTTTTGTTTATTGGTCAAATACTGGTTTCTAATGGTTTCTGAGGAGTTTTACTGGAATGAAAGAGCACAGAGTACAGAAGCAACAAAGCAGCATACTGCATTAAACCTGACCTTCACAGAGAGGTTGAAGTTCATGTGGAGAGGAGGCTTCAGTAGTCTGTCTGCATTCTGTTTAGTTGTGCTATCTTACAATCAATATAGTCAATGTGAGGTAAAGTGTGTTGCCAATGTAATCGGTTAGAACTCAAAGTTGCGATGAGGTCTTAACATGTATGGAAAGGATCTTAAAAAAGGTCTTGAAAGGTATTCAATTTGACTTCAGGATTCCTGCATATACCCTGTTATCATAAATTATAACCTTATCTTAAGCTAAACCAGGATCTTTTTACTCAACCTATGAAATTGTAAATGTGAGAATTTTTTTTTATTGCAATTTATAACGTTAAAACACATGTTAAAAACTGATGGCCGTAATGTGGGAGAACATGTGTTACCTATCGAAACATTATTGATCATGCAGTTTAGTAATGTTATTTTGTTTTGGAGACAGAGTTGGGTAAAAAGAGTAATTAATTATCTATTTTGTCCGGTCCGGTTAAGCTGTCAGGAGTCATTGAGTCACAAAATTATGTGTTCGTGTTTAACTGTATTGATTGCATATCAGTATTTAGCTTAATTTACATGAATGAAACACATGCACCAATCAGTATTGTGGTGTTGAGTATTGATTAATGTGCTGAAATGATAATGTCACAGTGACAAATTTCCTGCTTATTTACAGAAAATCTGGTGTGACGGACCATTATGCTTTGGATGATAACCACGCACTCCATTTAGCAAGAAAAGCAGTGAGGAACCTCAACTACAGGAAAAAGCTTGATGTCAGTCAAATGATGAGTCATTTACAGTCACCTTAAATCCATTCATCCATCAATTCAAGCTGTCTGTGCTCTCTGCTGATGTGAAGGCTGTTTTTGTTTCTCAGGTCACCACAGAGCCGGTGGAGGCCCCTCTCTACCCGGCTGATGAACTCTACGGCATAGTTGGAGCAAACCTGAAACGCAACTTTGATGTCAGAGAGGTATTTGTCCGGCTTCCTCCACTTTGCCTCAAAGGGGCAAGAAACAAATGTTGTTAGTGTTGCCACAAATGATCTGAACAATAATGTTGAGGTTTATTACATTGGGTGATGTTGCATCACTTTTGAAGTCTAAAACCTCTTTATAAACCTCTGCCCCTTTTCTGAAATGTGTGTTTAGCAGCCAATTTTCCTTGATCGATTTTTCTTTTATAGTGTTACCGACAGTAACAAGATTTAGAGAACATATGCACACTTTGCAACAAAATACCAGCAAACCTGACGTTTAAAGGTTCAGAATGCACTCTAAACAATTTGTAGCTGTCGGGTCTCTGTTAGGAGTCAATCATGGACAGCGGGCATCAATCACTTTAATCGCCTAGTTTTCTCTCTCCGGCACGGCTTGCCAGATGTTCTCATTTGGTTTAAAGCCTGTGCCTTTGATTCTTGATTTAGACCCTTGAGCAAGAATCGCTGCTAACTGTAGAGATGTCAAAGTGTTTGTAGTCAAGAACAGTATTGGCAGTCCATTTAGCAAACAGGATCAAGGGGCTTCCCCCTCTTTTAACTTGTAAAGGGATTTTCAGCACTGGGCATCCTGCATCGCTTAAGTTAAATCAATCATGATTCAAATATTATACTTGTGTCTGTCAAAGCCTGATATTTCTTATAAATGTTTGCCATTGAGCTCTATTGTCTAAAAAATATTACAAACACACCAATAAGCCACACTGTTTCATAAAATTACATTATGTTATTGTATATGAATTAACCACATGCTGTCTATGTGCTATTCATACGTACTACTGGTTTAAAATGGCCTCCTAAAAATACTCGGTTTACCTCTTTTTCAGTCATTTCTGCTGAAAACTAAAAGGCCCATCTGCTTGCTGAGCTCTTTTTTAGAATCAATATATTTATATATATCTTTGAATAAATTACATCCTCCGTGTTAATGGATAAACTGAGGGCTTGTGATATGTTGACATATCATAAATATGGAATATTTCTGGTCTTACCTAGAAGGAGGAAAACATATTTATACAGTATATAAACACATATATATCAAGGCTGCGATTTGCTAATTTGTGCGCACAGTTTATAATGTGTTAACCACAATTAAATAAAAACTCAAAATGAAATTAAAAGAATCTGGCAGTTTACAAGGCCAAGTCACTCATCCCAGCAGCCAGCTGCTTAAGGCACTCACCCTTGGTTGTAGGCAGCTATGGATAGAGACTCTTTAATTAGGGTTTACCTTAGCTTGGGGATGAGTTATCAAGACATGTTGGCAGAACTTGTTGAGGACATTGAGAGTTTGTGGATTAAATCCTGCAATAGGCAGAGTTGAAGATACCGATACTTGAAGCAGGTGCACTGCAGGTGAGAGAAAGGCTGGTCTGTTGTGCCAACAATTGAATGAAACTGGGGCCACGGATTACATCGCATAGACACAAATTAATAAATCATGGTCTGAATTTCTATTTATTCTCTCTATGGCATATCCCAGGCTCTGGAATAAACACACTATAACAACATGGAAAACTGGTATTGCAAGTGTCATCTGCTTTCTGTATTTACTGTCTTTGGCTTTGCATTATGGGATTTTACAGCTTCCCTCTATTCATTCATCGCAGGTCATCGCCAGAGTTGTGGATGGCAGTAAATTTGACGAGTTCAAGGCTTTCTACGGAGACACGCTTGTTACAGGTCTGTAAAATGACATTACTACAACCCAGAAAAGAACGTCTACAATTATGTTTCTTCCCATGGAATTTAGCAACATTAACATTAAACTCTGTAACTGGGCAGGATTTTCCAGAATATTCGGTTACCCTGTGGGAATCATTGGCAACAACGGAGTCTTGTTTTCAGAGTCTGCGAAAAAGGTAAATATCGTGTGTACACTAAGATGTCTGAAACCTTTATAAGTGAGTGTTCTCTAAAGGATAAATATTGGTTTCTAAGGTCTGTTCACAGTACCTCCACAGTGTTATTAGAAAAGCTGAAATGTGCCCCTGGCTTCTCTGAAAACCTTTAAGTTTATGGTACAGCTTCAATCCTGTGATATTATAAACAGACACCTGTGTAACCTGTAGAAAGCTAAGCCTCATGATCGGGTTCAATGTTCAAAGGGGTAACAATTGTACTTTCAATATGTTCCTCTGAATGTCAAGGACTTGAACTTAATACTAAAGCACTTCAGGTAGTTTTGTCCACAGGGATTTGCTACCAATATGTCTCTCTTGAGGGAGCTTTAGTCTTCATAGATGCTTCCACTGACCTTTCAGAGGCGAGTTTCCCTCTCACAATAAGCTCTGAAATTGCACTTGTCTGGGGCATCTCAGGAGAACTCTGACGAATGGCATAGTAATAACATATCATTTAGAAAGCATGGACAAGGGACAATCATGATTTTCATTCAATGTAATTCCATTAATTTGTAAGCCAGTCTGCCGTGAACAGCTGAACTTTACCCAGGCTTAGGAAAGATGAGGAGCTGAATTTGTGATTATAGCCTAATGCGTTTTTCAAACACATTTCAAATTAGATAACAAGCTTGACCTGAAAAAATATTTCTTTCTATGATTATTTTGTTCTCTTTTTCCTGTGAGGTCTCAATAGGCCAGTTAGAGCATTGGTTATCTCATCAGTGTAATTGTTTACAAAAGATACTGACACAGAGCTTCAGACTGAGCACGTCGGTTCCACATCTGTGTCTGAGAGCATATCCAAGAAAATCAATACAGCACCTGCATTTCGTGATGCATTTCTGACACGCTGTCATCACTAACGATTTGCCCAGGCTTCTATTATGCCAACTTTTAAATTGTTAAAAGCTTTTCCCCAGGTGTTTGTGAAAGGGAGAGGTAACAGAGAAAAATATTACATTTGTGTTGTTGTGTGAACATTTGGGAGCTAACTGAGTGAACTAAAAATAAGTAACAGTTTATAATAAGCAACCGTCTTTCAGGCCGTCTCCAACTTGTGTTTACTCTTTGCAATGCAAGGCAGCATGCTTCACTGAAAGAGAGCCAGCAGAGGTAACTGCCAAAATGAGGAAAACACCTGAGCAATTCAGCAATACAAAAATATATGGAAATGAGGTGTCTCCGCACACTGCACAGTCTTTTGTGCTGGGTTTTTCTGTGCAATGGCTCCTGGCAGCTCTGTGTTCTTCAATGTATTTCTCTGGCGAGGCTGAAGGCCATTCAGCTCTTTCATATTCAAAGTAAAAATCTAGCAAGAACAAAGCATGAGTGGCGGAGATGACTCTACCTCCAGAGTTGATACATTTCTGTCTCAAGTCAAATGAAGATAAAGGTGAGACCAATTCTTCACAGGACCATCACTTTGTTAACGGTTCGATGAGCATGAAGCAATTGTCCATTTTGATATTGACTTTGATTGGGCCTTCAGCTTCTCAAAAAGTTTCCATCTTCTCGTCTACGCACAAACTCCAGATATGATCCAGCGCTTTTGAACAGAATCACTGTCTCATTAGAAAACACTGTTTTTGTTGGTAAAGGCTCTTTTCCTGTTAATATCTTAAAGGTGACCTATCATGCAAAATGCACTTTTGTACGTCTTTTATACATGAATATGTGTCCCCGGTGTTCCAGGGAACTCACCAAGTGTCAGAAAACACAACCCTCTCTATTTTCCTCCATACCCAAATCTCTTAAAAAGCGGCTGCAACGGATCTGATACAGACTGATCCAGATTTGAACACTTCTCTGACGTCACAGAAGTGGCGCTACGGCTATTGGGCCAACTCCACCAATCAGGAGGAGACAGCCACGGACATTGCCGTTCGAAAGCGCTGGAGACGCGGTAGTACATATGCCAGGCCTGTAGATGGTGCTGTTCTCACAGAATCAGCCCATGAAAAGACAGTGTTAAATTGAGCGAAATGAGGAATGGCTAAAATGCATGATCTGTTTGGTATTTTGAAAAATAAAAAGTATAAATATGCCTTATATAGGTATGGTCCAACACTATATTATTCAAATATAGCATGATAGGTCCACTTTAAGGTGGCAAAATAACTTCAATGTGTTTTGTCCTGTAGGAAGTTAATTAGGTCAACTGAAGATTTGTATTCCTTTTTCAGGGAACCCATTTCATCGAATTATGCTGCCAGCGAAACATTCCTCTTATTTTCCTCCAAAACATAACGGGTGAGTGGGACGTTTTTATTTCTGAAGTTTTGGGATTATTGCCACCACTGTTTCTTCTTCTTAATCCTTCTCTTCATTTTGCTTCATTACTTTAATTCCGAGTGAACATGACATGTTATTCATAATCATTAAAGTTCTTAAATAAGTGAAAATATAATTAAACGGTTCGTTTGAATTCGGTTCTTAGGCACCTACTGAAAGCCTGTCTTTAATACAATCGTGAAATGACACACTGCAATTTGATTTAATATCATGGTTCGCATCATAATCAAATAGGTGCTCTCGTTTTACCGTTTTAACCTTTTCTTTCACACGTGTTATTTGAACTGACACCACACTGTGAAGTCAAATTCAGTTGCAATCTCTCCTCTGCATCTTTCTCTCAGGCTTCATGGTGGGTAGAGAGTATGAAGCAGGAGGCATCGCAAAGGATGGAGCTAAGATGGTTACTGCAGTTGCCTGTGCCAATGTACCCAAGATTACTGTTCTTATCGGAGGCTCCTATGGTGCAGGAAACTATGGCATGTGCGGCAGAGCCTACAGGTAAGAATACATTAATGAAAAATAGAAAAGATTTCACAAAGGAACAAAAACATAAGAGTTTGGCCAAGACCAGCAGCCTTACATAAATGTGAAGATCATTAGCTGTGCATAATTCAATTGTACAAAATGTGCTCTGCATGCTGTTCATTATGTGGACGAATATGCATCAGAAGCCTTTTGACTTTTCCTTTCATATGAAAATGACCTTTGGTAACCACAGAAACGGAGGGTTCTATTTTTGAACACATTCTAGTAAAGAAACCTCCATTTGAGTTTGACTTTTCTGACACTAGCTATCTTTCCTCGCCTCTTCATTGTTCCTAATTTGTTTAAATGACATCCTCTGAGAGGTTTGCCTTTTAGAACAATAAGAAGCAAAAATGATGGGCGGGTTTATACTCCACAAACGACTTCACACAGTGTTTCTCACATGTGCAGTGTGCAATAGGACATGAAATAATTGTTCAATCAATTTACATACATCTTAAATTACGGCTGGTATTCCCTTTAGGTTGGATCTTTTGATATTCCCTGAGTGGTATTTTTAATGGCTCTCATAAATGATGTTTTTCCATAGCTGTCATGAGATTATTAAACCATAAATAGAATATAACATTTCCATTCCATTTCTGGTTGTTGCTTTGTTTGTTTTAGTTTTTCATCCATTATTTAGCAGACTATTCTGGCCCAACAAAAAGCGAACAAATTGTGACAATCCCTTCTCTTCTTCTCGCAGCCCCCGATTCCTGTACATGTGGCCGAATTCCCGAATCTCTGTAATGGGCGGTGAGCAGGCGGCCACTGTCCTGGCCACCATCACCAAGGATCAGAGGGCACGGGAGGGGAAGGAGGTAACATTCATCTTCCCGTCTGTGCTTCACTTGAAAGGCCTAAATGAGCTTTTCTGCATTTGCTGCCAAAAGCAGAAACATTATGAAGTCACTATTCTTTCAGTAATGGTTTGACATGGCACTTATACAAGGATAAAGATATATCAATGTTAAGTGTTAGAGTGATGACAGAATATTGCAGTCATCAAATGGCTGCATTACATTTGGTCCGAGACACTGTTATGGGTGTATTAAGAGTGCATTAATAGCTTCAGAATATTACGTGCCTTGGGTGATGCATTTCAATCATTGATGTTCATTGATTGTTTCTCACTGTGGATTTGAAAAGACTGAAAAGGAAACTTATTATTAACATTATTTTAAAGATGCCCTATTGTGCTTTTTGTGGTTTTCCCTTTCCTGTAGTGTATTAGTTTATAGGTTTTTGTGCATGTAAATGGTCTGCAAAGCACTCCAACAAATTGTATGTGAAAGGCTAAGGGGAAGGACATCTTTAAGCGGTTGACCAGTCACAACAGAGCTGGCCAGCTAACCAATCAGAGCAGACTGGGCTCTGGTTTTAGACAGAGGGTGAAAAGAGGCAGGCTGTATGAGAAAAACAAGGCACTTTTTGAACATTAAAGCATGGAAACATGACACAGTAGAGGCACAACATACAAATATGAACCTGAAAAGGAGCATACTAGGGCACCTTAAAACATTTAAATGAAGTCTTCCTCTAACAGTCTTTATTCTACTCTTATTTAAAGTTGAACAAGTGTTTTTTTCTAGAGATGTAATCTGCATTGGTATGAAATAATCAGCACACAGTTCATACATTGACATAGCCTTGGCATGGTTAATAAATGCACTAGATACTGTTGGCCTCCACCCACACTTCCCTAATGTTGTTAGGGGATAGTGAACGAGGGAGGAATTCCTAAATTATACCTCAACCTCGCTCAAGGTTAAAGCTAACTGACATCCAAACACACAACTGACCCATGATCCCACTCTTGTAACTAACACAATCATCAAGCTAATACAAAATGTGGCTTAATATGATTACATTACAGACTTAGCTTGTTGCCCCAAGTTTTATTGGACAAATATAAGTATACATCATGTGTCTTTAACTGACATGGTGTACACTCAGGGTGGATTCAAAAAGGGTTGCCGGGCTTTTGCAGCTGCTAAACCTTTGCAAATAAAATGGAAATAAACCGTGTAATTCTCAAAGCACCAGCTAGAGTAAGATGAAATTAACCCCTGACTGTGCTGCAAAACAAATAGCGACTCCTGCTTCTACGCTATTTGCACCTATTTAAATGAGGTAATATACAAACATTTGGTACCAAATTGTCCCCTTTCTATGCGAGTGAGCCTCATTGCAGAAACATTACTATTTAGAAAGTTTAGCACTAATAACCACACACTGTTAAAGTGAACAAATTGGAACCTTCAATCCCATATATAACATATATAAGTGCTGCGCGCTCAAACTAATTTATTTAGGGACAGTTGTGACAGTGAAAAATAAATGAGTGAAGCTCCGCCACCTGTCACTTTGGAAGAAATAGATTTTTGTATTTGAATGAATAGTAAGGTTTTTATATAACAAGAGATAAACACATTTCTTTCCTTTCCCACCTTTCCCAAATCCTGACCTTACATTTCCCATTTCCTCTCTCTTAATTGCCTTCAGATAATTTGACAAAACCTCTGGCTTAGGCTGCCTTTAAATCGCTCTCAGCCGCAACGCTTATGAATATGTTTACTATTTAATACCGTTAGGGCATTACCTTTTGTGAATCATACCTGAAGACAGGACAGATATGGAGTGCAAATGTTGCACAATTCATGTAGCTACAGCAATCTATTCATTGTAAATGTTGTTGAATTCAGTTGCCAGTCTTTTCAGTCCTCCTAGCTAAAACTAATGCTAAAACTAATGCAATTATCTTTGGTAGACCTGCAGCACCAATTCCTTTTTGATTTCACATTTTATTCACAGTTCACAGCAGAGCAAGAGGCTGCCATGAAGAAGCCAATCGTAGAGCGGTTTGAAGCGGAGGGCAGTCCATACTTCTCCAGTGCAAGGTGAGCTTTGGTCATGACGCTTCACTCTGTGTGTGGGATAAAAGTATTCACCGAAAGGCTTTCACAGCATTGACTACATGTTCAAATGATCTCTTTGAAATGATAATATTCTGCAGAGGTGGAATAACAACATGCCAGCAGCATTTGCTTCTAATTTCTTTTGTAAATCATTCCAATATCAAATCATATTACCCTGCTTTTTTCAAAATCATACTGCTCATGTACGTATAAGGAGTGATGCTGTGATGGGTTCAAAGTGTATTTATTCTCCATCAGATGTCCTGTTGTTCTGCTAATATGAACCATCTTTGCTTGTTTTTATTATTTGGTCCTGTGGTTTATTTTCATGGTTTATGTGAGCTAAGCACATATCAGATGATAAAGGTCTTCCAAATTGTTTTTCAAAGCCCTAAAAATGTATTTACAGTTAAAGACTATCAAATAAAGCAGCAAAAAAAACATTAATTCGGTAATTATCATATTTAAGACTACAAAACACATCAGATGAGTGAGATTGTTTAATAATGTGATGCTTTTGTTTTTTTTCACAGACTGTGGGATGACGGGATCATTGATCCCGCAGATACTCGTCTGGTTTTGGGTCTGAGCCTCAGTGCCGCGCTGAATGCACCAACGAAGAAGACACGCTTTGGAGTGTTCAGGATGTAATGCTGATGACGCTTGCCTACCTGTTAGAGTTTGACATATACTGTACCTAAACTAGTTTTTGTAGTTTTACTTGTGAGGTGTCACCAGATTAAGGGCAACAAACACAGAACATAATGACTCGAGTAGAATCACAGACCTCGGATCAATGGGGATGTGATTGGATGGTGTGCTGTTGTTGTGGGATATTTCCACTAAGACGTTGTGCCTTAACTATCACTAATCCTTTGTAAATGCAAACTGTATTCATGTTTTATTTTCCCTTCTTTTTTTTTCTTTTTATTGAATGCTGTAAATGATGAATTATAAAAGTGCACAATTGTAGTCTTTATTCAGGACCATTAATGTTGCTCAGTACCTGGTAAAGACATTTCAGAGAGTAAAACTGTTCATAAGGGGGCACTGTTTAGCTAGATATCTGATTGGCCACAGGCTTAACAGACGCGAGAAGCAAACTCAACCTTGTTCACGCTAAATGCCTTTTAGATAACACAGGGATGCTCTCATATTGACAGAGGAGCTGTTTTGAGTACAATTCAAAACAACACTTTTGTTTTAAAGTTCCAAGGTCAGTGCAATTTTTAAATCCACTTTACATTAACCTATCTTGTTCAAAGACACAGCCAGCCATATGTTTTGATTTTAACTTTAATAATCCCCCAGATGTATTGTATAAGGCAGAGTATGTCGAGCCACCGAAGAAGAGTAATGCTTTACTTAACCAACTGGCAACCCTCCCCCCCCCATTTTTTTCCATTGTGTAAATTTATCTCTTAAACTGAACATGCTGCACACAGTTGGTCTGCTCACATAATTGGTATAGACCATCTGAGTTGACTTTGGCAACAAGTTCTGTTATTTACTCAGTTTTTGGTGGATTAGGGGCAGCTGTGTTTTTGAATGTTTGAACATCCTCATACAAACTTAGCTGGTTAAAATAACTTGAAGCCCTTCATGCTCATCTGTGTATGACTGTGTGTACACTGAGACTGTGGAAAGCATAATCTTATTATAGTAATAACTAGGGTTGTGTGTGTGCCACCCACGCAGACATCCTCCACCACCTCTCACCACCAGCTCTTAAAGCTGGTTATGCTTCATGCTCTTCCACCACATATAGTTGGATCATTACCAAACAGTATGAAGCTTCACTTTTATGTAAGCAAGAAACACTTTCCAGAGGTTTTGAGGTCTAATGATTGGAAGTGTTCATATTTTCAAGGACCACAGAAATGTAGAAGATTAATCAATCAAGGATTTTGGTTTTTGACCAAGTCTTTCTCGATGACAGTGACTGCTTTGCCGTGATTATGTCTCACTAGGTGTCTGGCAGGTCTTTTTTAGGAGAAGAATGACTGTCTTTTCATTTTATGATGAGAACAGTGGCTTTGAGTTGTTGCACCACTTTGCATACTAGAAGATTACAACATTCCTTGCATCATCTGTACACAGACAGATGACCTCATTAACAGCTATGTGCAGCCAGTTTGTCCGAAACATGAAAGTCTTGAGACCAAAAACCATACATTCCAGGTTCAAAAGGAAAACATGTCAAACCTTGGAACAAGACAGCAAGCATTTTTAACTAAGAAATGAATTGTAGTTTTGCGTCGTATCAGTGCTGTCCGTCTTCAAAGTGTGACTGCATTATAGGGATACATTTCTACAGCTGATGAAGGACACACCAGACTGCTTCATTGACACACAGTGCAGCTGTGTTTAGCACTTTGACAAGGTCAGTCGTACAAGATTGGTTGCTACGCGTAGGTCGTGGTATCTAGGGAATCTGGCAGTCTTTACATTTTTGAAGAAAAGTTCAGAGTGAACTTTGTTGCCGACCAAATACCAGCTACCAACGAGCTACACACAACGTTCACAAAGAGTGTTTTGTCAATTGTTCTTGCCACATTGTTCCATATCTTCAGCAAAAAGACAAGTAAGTACACAACACATCTTGCATGTTTCCTAAGATTAAACTAAATGTCTTCTTAGTTGGTCTCTGAAATGTACTTTACATATTCTGTTGGTTTTTAGTTGGACTCATAATATAGGAATCAATAACTGGTTGAAATGGTACAACTCAAGAAATAGTAAAACATGTTTTTCATCCTAAAATCATGTTGAGGGAGTTGGGTTAGTTTAAGGTTAGCAACAAAATTATTGTCACAAAGTGAATTTGAACCTACTTATCATTCTCAACCTCCTAGACATTTGTTCTTAATGCAGGGCAAAACACTGTTTAATGATTCATTTGTGTCAAATAAATTGCGCCCGACTTGTTTCTGGAGCTCATTCCCTCTTGTCAGATCTGCTTGGACAGTCATGACTCATGTTGAAGTCACACCACAGCCTAAAAATAAACATGACTGAGATTTCGAGTCAGTCTGGGCGATGGATTATTGTCTGATGCAGACATTGATAAAAATCGTTGTTTCCCCACCCAAAATAAGTCTGTAGCCTATTCGACTGCTGAATTAGAATATATAAAAGTCCAGGAGAATCATTTGCGTATTAATGAAAAAAAAGCTATGCCTTGTCTTTCAAATAGAATAACACTTAATAACAAAAATGCAATTATTTTGATACCATCTTAATTAAAGTCCAGTGCAACTGTTAATGTCATTATTGGTTCAGTAATTTAGTTAACCTTCATTGTATATAACATAAACCACTGCTGTGTTTTAAAATTAATTCCAAAACCAACAAATATGTGTATGTAATAATACATTTGTATGTATTATCTCTTCGATTTACACACGGCATCTATTGCACGTCTGTCCGTCCTGGGAGAGGGATCCCTCCTCTGTTGCTCTCCCTGAGGTTTCTCCCATTTCCCCCTTTAAACGGTGGGGTTTTTCCTTCTTTGGAAGTTTTTCTTTGTACAATGTGAGGGTCTAAGGACAGAGGGTGTCGTATTGTCATACTGATATTCTGTACAAACTGTGAAGTCCACTGAGACAAATGTAACGTTTGTGATATTGGGCTATAAATAAACATTGATTGATATTTGATTTTACCTTATTAAAACCTGAATAAACATTATCCTTCTCTTTGTTATTAACTGGAGTTGAATATTTACAATAAACATTTGTTTAAACGACATAATTCACAATTATTTTATATTCATTAATGTGTATATGTAATTCCCATAAGATTAGGAAATTACAAGTTAACAATACTGTTTAAGATATAAAAGAGAACAAAGGGGGTTTGCATGGAGAAAAAAAACGTGATTCCTTTAAACCTACAAGTAGCTGTTTTATTGCTAATGTTGTACACTGCAATGCAGAAAAGGCTGCAAATGTCTAAAAGATAAAACATTGCTTATGACACAGATGTTTCTGAGTTCAGAAGGCTGTACTGGATCAGATCAGGTCAGATGCTTGGATGCTCCCCCCAACTGTGTGTCCCGGTGCCCGGGTAAAGAGGCAGCTGCCGCCGGGGCACCTGCAGCCTCTCCCGGCTCGGTGCTGTGTGGTGGCCCGGACGCCGGAGTGACGAGCCTTGTGGTGCAATGTACGTCTGCAGCGTGCCCAGACTGACAGGGCCGGAGGTCCAATGAGATAAGTCGACATATTGAGGTTGTCAAATCAAAGCCAAAGGGGAGGCGCTGTCCAGTCGTCGTCTCAATTACGTCATGCACAAACAGCTGGTCGTTGGCAAAAAATCCGTAAAATATGTAGACCAGCAAAGCGACTGAGAACTGCACCCGGGCTGGAGCCCTCCACTACATTTTTTGCTTTTAACGATGTGGCAGCTGGAGCGCCTGGGCTCAGGATGTAGCCCTCCGAGGCTCCTCTTGCTTGTTTACTATCTGTGCGCTCTTGGAGGTGAGTGCTCTCCATTCAGTATGTGCTGCTTTGATTCGCGGGGAGCTGTTCCTTTTGTCGGGGTGCTGAAAACCTCGGAGAGCAGCAGCAGCATCGGGTCTAGTTTGTCATTTGATTGTAGTCTACTAAACATCCACAGCTGCGGATTTTATTCTTGTTCAACAATTAAAACCGTTTTTAATAAATACATGTTTCAGTTACGTGACGCATAGAAGCTGCTGCTAATTATGGCACGCAACACATTGACAGATGCTCCAATATGTTGTACGATACGTTACTGAGGGATGTATGTGGCCGAAAGAAAATACATCGTGCTGGACGCGTTCATTGTTGATGCCTTTGACATTTGTTTGTCGGTGTTGTGCTTTGTTAGAGACAAGTTAATAAGACACATTGGAAAAATGGAAAAATATTGCTGGATTTATAAGACAATAAGTAACCTTGTTATTTTCTGGTTCAATTTAGTCTAAATCTAAATGAGAGGATTTCCTTTAATAATGTGGCAATATTTAAGTAAAATCTCTCAAATCCTTTTAATTTCTGCTCCTTTTTATCATAAAACATGACATGAAAAATGTACAAGATGCGTTAAAATGTCTAAGTTGTTTTCCTTTAAAATAGATCAATCTCACGAAAACACCAATAAGGAGTGTTTGGTTCTTGTGTTTTTGGTGTCCATACACCCAGTTTCTTTGCTGCTTCAAGACAGAGGCATGAAACAAAAAGCTCAGAGCTCATTGTGAGACAACAATGAATCCATACCTTTTGCACACGCTGTGCTGCTGCGGTCAAAGAAGACCTTAAAGGTCTGTCTGAGGATGTTGCAGTCCCCTGACAGACTTGTTGCTGTTTCTCTCCATCCGTGTTGTTAAATGCTTAGACTTGGTTGAAGTCAGTTAGAAGAATGTTCCCCCCTTTACCCTCTTTTTCTTTGTGTATGTATTACAGTAAGAGGGGTCAGCGTGATATTTTAAGATTGAGTCTTAAATACAGAATGTAATGTTCATTAATGATCAGCAGGAAGTTGTCTATTCAGTTAGGTTTGTGTGTTTGACAAAGGGGACACAATTAATTGCCAGATTTTGATTTTGTTTCTTTATGTATAAAAAATTATTCAAAATCCTGCTAAGAGAAGAGATATTTTAAGAAGCAGCATTTACCTACGTCTTTCCAAAAAGATGAAGTTTAAAGACCATCCTGCTTAGCATTCAGGGATAAATCTCTGGTTGAGATGACAAAAAGCTGGATTATGTTTGTATTAAGCCTCTAACAGAGTAAAACAGTGGCTGGGAGGTGCTCATTGAAGATTACTGAGAGGACTGAATTCAGAATGTGCTGTAAGAACGCCTGTAAGCACTCTGCTGTCTTTATCTTTAAATGTCTTTATTCAGCTGGCAAACTAAAATGTTTGAATATGTTTGTGTGTTATCACCTTCACACTGAGAGCAGGCACAGTGTGCGGCTGCTGGAACTGAGACATTTCCTCTGACTAATCTTTGTTTTTCACATAGAGCCGGTTTATAAATAGATGCAAGTTTGTTTGTTCTATTTATAATAACTTGGCATGTCGGTTACAGTCATGTATTTCATTTGTCACAAGAACACTTCACATGTAGCCTGTCAATTGAATGATTCCAACTTGCATAATTAAACATAATAATTACAAAATGTGAAAAACTGGCAAACACGACGTTTGGACTATTTAAATTCAAAAAACGATTTCAGAATGTTACCTTCACAGTTCATTGACATTAATAACAAATACAAATATTCTTGCACATTTACAGAAAGGTTTGTATGCAAACAAATAATTACTTGAATAAGAAAAAATGATCTGCTGCACACTGTCAACGCTTACGTACATTTTATTAAAAAAAGCAACATTTTGGTACACTGACTTTTCGCAGGCATTACCTCATACCAAGACATAGCCGTTTAGACCATGTTTAATACAAAGAGATGCCTTCTGTAATATACCTACTCAAATGTCTCTGACTTGTGAGCAGTTCAACTGAGGTTCAATTTTCCTACAAAGAATCACTTGAATCATTTCCTAAATGTGAAGAAGTAAGACTAAAAGAAAGGAACCATTTTAAAAGTATTACATGTAGCAGGAATTGGATTGGTTTTGGTCCTTCTCCCCTTAATTATAGCTCAACCTCTTTTGTGGGGTCCTTAACCACAGCTTTGGCTACCCCTCATTTAGAGTGTATAATACCTTATTTTTATAATGGGTACTTGTTCAAAGATTCAATGTATGTAGGGATGTGCAATCCATCGTCTAATGGCTATTTTTAAATAATGCAGCTTGACAATATCCAGATGTGCAATATCACTGACTTTTTCCTCTCCAACATGCCTGACCAACAGGTAATGAACCGGTTACAGTGTGATATTAAGCGTAAGTGGTGTTAGCTGTGATCTGTAGCTGGAACAAGAGGTCTGTCTCTTTCTACTCAGACAAGCAGAACGTACGGGAGGCTTACTGCAGAGTGACTTCTGCAGCGTTGGGGCCACCCTCCACCTTTTGAGTTATAGCACTTGAATGTGTGACATGGAAGCAGTTTCTCCTCAGCCTCACTCACAGACATCACTGTAATGAAATTGCAAAGAAGAACCCAAATGCAAAGCAGGCTCACATATAGCGCAGAGAAACAGAGGGGATGAGAGTGAAAATTAAGGCTGAGAGCTTTGTATGGGATTAAGCCTTAGCTCTTGACAGCAAGATTGCTTCATTCTTTTGAGTTTCTGCCTCCTTGTTCTGCTTCTTTAGTATTCAAGGTTGCATCCATAGGTGAGGGCTTTGAGGACTGGTAATAGTGCTGGGGAGAGGAGCGTAGCAGAGACATTTTTCTCTGTTTCCTAAAACACGTTAGAACACACTGCACATTCAAGAAAACCTTTTCCTTATATTTCCTTCCACGCCCAAGCTCCTCGACACTATAGAGGGTCGCTTTTTTACTCTTTCTCATCATCAAGGTAAAAGCAGAAGCAAAAGCAAACCGTGCAGCTGCAAATGACAGCATTAGTTCTGTGTGCTCGCTTACTGTGTCGCTGCAACTCTTAAACAAATTGGGCTCATGCTGTTTTAGAGGCACAGGCTTTAAGTATACTTGTACAAATTGCAGGTGAGATAAATTATCCCCAAAAGGAAACAAAACAGACACCGCCACAGGTATTCCATGTACAGATGGTAGAAAGGCTTGATATGCATGAACACAAAGGGACTGTGTCTCAAGTGGAAAAACAAACCTCTCATTGTTCTGTGAAATATTGCCGTCTTCTTTCATATCCACTCGTCCTCATGTTCTACTGAATCTTATATAGAAGACTATAGTTATAGCAATTAACTAACTCACACTCCATTCCCCCCCAGATTCTGCCCACCCGCTGGGTGTAGCTCGATGGCTCATGTAGGTAATGGCAGATTACAGCTGTCACTTGTTCCGCTGCTTTTATATGCAGAGCCTTCCCTGCATGTAATCCAAGGATTTGACATTATGCAGGACGCGAGTGGGCCTGCATATATACATCCCCCTCCGCTGCTTTAACAGGAGTTTAAGTCTGTGATCACATATTTAGATGATCTAGCTCTCTGCAGTGTGTCGGGTTCAAGGAGATGCTTGTCGTAAAGGACTTAAGACAGATAGACTGCGTCTGCCTCTCTTCTGTTTACAAGAATGATAGTGCTGAGGAAACTTGAAAATGTTTGTACTTGAGATTCAATCTTTTAAAAGAAAAAGTCTTACATCAGGGGAGGCTAGGTCCAGCCCTTTGGCTCAGATTGAAACCGGTTGACAACTACGGGCGGTTGCTATTGGATTTTGTGAAGAAACAAATGATCCCCAGAGGATGACTTCTGATCGCATTACTTTGTGGGTAGCGCCGCCTGTGGGTCAATGTTTTTAATTACTATGTGAATAATATCTACCAGATTATCTACATTTCTAATCATCCAATACTTTGTTTTGTGTCTCATCATCATCCACATCTGAACTCTGCAGTGTACATGTGCAGATGTTAGCCTGCCAGAACACTAAGTTGGTGCTTAACCATAGCACGTAAGCATTGTATATATGATAGCATGCTATATTGAACTCAAAACATTGCTGTACCTAAGTGAAGCCTTAAAGCAGTAAGAATTGCTGTAGACTCTGGTTGATCAAAGAAGGCCTCTCTTAATAAGGCTATATCATGTGTTCCATACATTCATCCTCACACATATTCAAAGCGTCCTTCCTCTGTTTCTCACAGATTGCCTTTTTGTGACTGAATACTTCACCCGAACGCCTCGTAAGCTGAATGCTTTCAACTCCTTCGCCAGCGTGGAGCTGTTCCACTTCAATGTGCCTGACGACACCATGATGGCCGTATGGAACCTCATCACTTTCAAGGAGCAAGGGGGCACGTTTGGAGACAGCTGCCCCAACCGCAACGTGACTGTGTAAGACGAGGATCACAACATATCTTTTATGGAATGGAGTCGCTTGTGCTCAGCTTTTTCTTTAGTTGCTCTTTTGTAAAGGTTGGAAACTGAGGGAGTTCCGTCTGCTCCTTCTATAGGCTATACATATATATATATCAACAAGAATATTATGCATTCTATCTTTGGGGAAAGGGTCCAGCTGCTTCAACTCAAACAGTGTCAGCTATCACTGTCAGCCTCGATGTATGGAGGGAACTGCTGTTAAAACTGCATTTCACTTTTCACATGCCTTTCAATTTGCATCATATTGGTCATAATATATTGTTTGTCACAAGAGCTGGCATCTCAGGTGATTCTTCTCTGTGCCTGTGGTGTTGTGATTGACGTGGATGTGCTAATTAATGTTTTGGATTTGAATTTTGCATTTTTAAAATAGGAGATGCCATCTGTGCTCATGCCATCATCTGTTTTTATATATGAATTACTTATTGGCAGATGCCTCTGTAATTTGTGAAAGCATAAGGCCTAACAAGGATTATATTTTGCCTTTGTGTTTAATAGGTACTTCAGGTCTGGCGCTCCTCCAGTAATAAACCCCCTGCACACCAGCTTCCCTCGGGATACAGTCGTCCCAGGATCCTTTGCTGTGACTCTTACCTGGACTCTTCCAAACCGTACAACAGGAGCATTCAACGTGACCAGCCCGCTCCCTGGAGACTGGTTCCTAGCCGCACATTTACCCAAGGACGAAGGCAAGATCTCAGTCAAGGTGAGCCTGAACATTTCACACAAATCAACATTGTAGGTTCAGATTTGAATATGAAACCCTGAGATGATGCTAACGTTGGTCACTTTTGTGTTTCTGAACCATATAGTTGCTTTTACAGCTTACGATATCCACCTTTCATCCTTGATCTGTGATACTATACTGTACATTGGCACAGTGATGCTTTTGAGCTAAGTGCTAATATAAGCACTCCATAATGCTAACAATGCCAATGCTAAGATGCAGGTGTATTGTTAGCTGTCAAAGTTTGGTGTGATATCATGCTGGTATTTGGTAGTTTTTGTCTTAACACTATGAGGCGGTTACGGGTGTTGTTAGCTTTTGGTACTGAAAGGCAAGTATAGAGTATGACCTGATGCTGTTTAAGTTATTACATAAAGGTCTGAACCATCAAAGTGTTGTCAATACTCAATATCACAAATATCTATTTACGGTTTTCTTCAGAAAAGTAATATGTGAGGTACAAGGTTAAAGCCATTATATCTTATATTTTATATATTTCACTCCATAAGTGACCAGCTTACTAGTGGCACTTGTTAAAAGTCTCAGGATGCCAGTCAGTAGGATGTATCCTTTAGGCATCATGAATGGCTATACCTAATTTCATGGCAATCCATAAAAAACTGCTGTCAACCTCAAATATCAACCTCAGAGGAAAAGGGGATCACAGAACTTGTACAGAATATTGAACTAACAGACCAACATTGCCATGCCTATACTCCATGCTAGCAGCCTTAAAGGTGGGGTAGGTAATTTTGGAGAAACCAGCTCGAGTGCGCTAGAATTTGAAAATACACAACCTGCCACTTCCTTACAGAGCCCCTCCTCCAAC